TTTGGCATTTCATCAATTAGGTAATTGACCTCTCCCAATCAATCAGATGGAATCAGGAAAAAATAACGAAGGAGGTGAAGAAAGGAAAGAGGAGGTGATCAGTATTGCAGTTTTTTTTCCTGCAAAAAAGAGTGACTTACTGTAAGGGGGTTCGGGCATATACAATATATATATATACATATCCTGGAGGCTCCTTGCACAGCAACATGCGACGATTAGCACAGCTTCTTACGCCTGCACACTCCCACACAGTTGTGCGCACCAGGGTCTGATGGACAAGCCAGGACTGGAAGTTTTGAGGTAGCATTTGTGTCGAGCACCGTTGGCATCACCAGAGTACGAGCAACATTGTTCATAAACTACATACATTTTGTGTTTTGCGCCGCATCTTTCCTGCTGAGACTCTGCTGATGCTAATGCTAGACCAAAATGTCTCCTCAAAAGTTGTCTCCATTCTCAATGCTTTATGTTCTAGAGGCTTTGAAGCTATACAGTGCCCCATTTTTGATCATATTCCACTGTTTTTGATTTGACAGCCCTGGTGACGCTAGAAAAGAAGAAAAGAGGTCAGCGGCATGGAGCGCGTCTCCGTATAGCAAGCTTGGCTTGATAATGATAAGGGTACCGGAACGGCGTGCCGCCGACCCCCCTGGTGGGGGGGTCGGTGGACGGTTGATGAATGTGGCTGTTAGAAGGCATGGTGCAGCAGCATCTGGATACTGTTGCCATATTGCCAGTGAGTTGTAAGTTCCTCCAGAGGTTGAGCAGCACATGAAGAGTTGCAGAAGTTAGAGGTTGTTGAGTCTACTTTTCTTTGGCTTACATGTCAGTGCACTCAGCTTTGCCTTGTGCAAACAACAACGAAACGATCATGGAATGCGTGGAAAACCCCAGGTATACCTGCAAAATGCAGCCCACGGCCTGTTGGCAGGGCCCTCGCCGGGGCGGAGAGACCGCCTAGAAAAGAGGTCTAGGACGGCCCCATTGACCACGCCAAAACCTCAAGTAACGGCCTGGCGGCAGCCTCCTGAGGTCCGATAGAACGAGTATAGTGGAAAGCCCAGGTATACTCGCAAAACGCAGCCCACGGCCTGTTGAAAGGGTCCTCAGGCCATCCCAAAAAAACAACAATCTTGCCACAACAAAACACCCTGGCCCTGGAGGGGCGGGGAGTGACCGCTGCCACAAGGCAGCTGCAACAAGCAGGCGGAAGCAAGTGAGTCAGTCTAGCCTGGCCGCATAGATTGCAGGAGTCCACATGCAACAGCTTCCTCAGCAAGCCTAGCCAGGTTGCGTAGGTTGCTGGAATTGACAGGCAACAGTTTCCACCCTGCGGTGTCCCAGGCGCCGCCCTGCCTAGGCATCAGCTGGGCAGGGTCGGCGGATATATAAAGATATGTTTTTTTATATACCTTTTTGGCACAACATCCTACCACAAAAAGAGTAAACAATTTTGAGAAGTTCTTTGGGACTCCAGTCTGGGCTTGGGCTGCAACGCTTAGTGGCTCACACAGAGACACAGCAGGCCCACTAGACACACAACTTAGTTGTTGAACAGTGACAAACCTGATCGGGCTTTCAACAGCATACCGGCAAGCAAACTTCATGAGTTCGTGCACCCATCATATTGACATCCCGATCGTTGCAGAAGCTGAGCCAATGGAAACACCAACTGGAAGTGCTGTGCGTCAGCGGGGGTTGCATCTCATCGGCTTCCCAAACCACAAGCACCCTGCATGTGCAAGCAGGCCTGACGTGCTGAAATGACTTCCCGGGCAATCCTGCAACTTCCACATGGAGGGGATTCTTGCTCATCCAAAAACACCCCTGCAGCAAAAAACATCCTCCGAGACTAATTCCGAACCCATTCCATATAATTAGACATGCAAAGGCATGTCGACCAAACTACTGTATAAAGTATACTGTATACCGCTGTAACATTGTTTGATGTGATGAAACTCCCAAGCAACAATAGGAACAAAAGCGTTCCATCTAAAGCTTTGGTGATGGAACCGGCAGGTACCACTGTGGCAGCTCTCAAATGCGCAAGCTGCAGACGTTAGCTCTCATCACACCTCAGTTGGCGGTCGTAGCAAAGCTCCAACAGATCACTCGAAGCTGGTGCCGGAGGAAGCAGATGGCATTGGTCCATGTGCCGTATGTGCTTCATTCAACAAGGCCTTCACAAGATGTGGATGTGCTCCAAGATTTGGATCCACGTTTAGCCCAAATGGACGACGATCCTCGGCGCCACAAAGATGCACAGCTTGGCAAGGCTCAAAGGGCAGCCTTGGGAGAGCGTGGCTTGGCCGGCCGAAACAGCTCGTCATTCAACCCTGAATCCACACTTGTCCGCCCGGCAATGAGAGTCATTGTTGGCTCACCAAAGCGAAAAACATTTGGAAAGCCTTTAAGCCACGATGACGTTGTAATGGTTCCTGACTTTTTTTGTGAGGAGGATGATTGGACAGTGTACTATGACCTGATCCGAGAGATGCGTATGTTGCAATCAAAGAATGTCCGCAACTCTCATTGGAAGTCATGGCATGAGGGAGCTCACTTGTTGAGCCCCAATCCTGTGAGATGTGAAACATATCAGCAGATTCTAAGTCGCATGTCCCAGTACTTCTGCGTGGAGATGGCTGCGGGTGGGGCCCGTTTCAACTGGTACCGAGATGGGAGCGATTGGAAACCTTTTCATCATGACTCGGCAGCCTTCAACGTTTCCAGAGCACGAAAGCAGAACTGTACAGTTGGGATTTCCTTCGGCGCATCTCGTGAATTGGCCTTTAAACATGCTTTGAGCGGAGAGCTAGTCTATTTCCCGCAAACCAATGGAACGCTTTTCTATTTTGGAAGGGATGTGAACATCCGATGGCAGCATGGCATTAATGCCCTTGCAAGACATCATCAAGATGGAAAGGGACGGATCTCCATCATCCTGTGGGGCAGGGTACCAGCGACGCACGAGCCGCATTCTCCAGCTATGCTGACTGACCAAGATCGGCAAGGAAGCTTCAGTATTAGCAGGAAACCATGTCGAGATTTTCTCCGCGGCAATTGCAAATACGGGGCTCAATGCAGATTTGCTCACGTATCAGCTGCTGGAGAGGAAAGAGTGATGCACAGAAGAGGACAGAGTGATGCACAGAAGATAGTATGGTGATTGAAGGTCGTAATTTAGTTCTGGGCTCCTGGCCTTACTACTAGGAGCAAGGACGCTACTAGGGGCTCCTAGCATCGCTACTAGGAGCATTCTTACTACTAGTAAGAAGAAGCTTGTTTCCATGATTTGCTAAGTCCCAAGCGTTGGAACATGCTGAAACTCATTCTGTCCATGCAGAGTCTAGAAGACAGTGGCTGCTGCACCCAGTCATTTTTGGAGCCGCCCTTGCTATGTTCAGATACCTTGCCGAGCACCTTGAACCATCAACAGGATGTGAATTATCCAGGAGCATGTGTCATGTGTAGAGGAAGGCTTTCACAAGAAACTGACTAGGAATAATGCAACAGAAGGGCACGGCGCAGTTTGCCTGGCTTGTTATTGCAAAAGACTTGAGAAGAACCATATAGAGCATCCCAAGGTTTTGTTGTCTAGCTAGGCTGGCTATGAACTCGCCAATCCCCCAAATAGCCAGCCCTGCAGTTGGCCATAGACTTTGCAAAGGCTCCCTGTCCGATGCCGAACAGCTCCAACCTTTCGGGCCGCTTTGTGCATGACATTATGATGACATGCTGCATCATGATGCCAAAGCATAGCAAAGCATAGCATCGCTTGAGTTCAACACTGATTTGATACTTGAGCCTGACATCAGTTGCCCGATATCAACCTTACACAATGTCATAGGCAGGAATGGCCGACACATTTGGTGTGTTGGGTGCGGTGAGGAAAGCCATGGTATCCAAGGAGTTGAAGTGTTCAAAATGGTCTGAAAGAGGGAATCGAAAAGGGTACAGCAGATGCTTCATATCATATAGAGACTAAGTCACTCGAACTTGATCGATTTTGACTCAAGATTGTGGAAGAGAGAAAGGGTTCTTCCGGCTGCGACGGATAGTGAACGTCTCTTCGGCAGGAGCCTCATTTCTTTACTGCCGAAATCGACGTAACTTGTCTGCACTGAGACTTCTGCTCGTCACGCAAGCTTGGAGATCTCAGGCGTCTCAAGGGGCCTTGGGGCTGAAGCTCAGTGAGGACAACTTGTGCACTTTGACAGAAAAAGACTCCAGATCGCACAACTGTAATTGATCTGTGAAGAAGGCCTTGAATGCCTTGAAGGCAGAATTTGTGATTGGCCGTGACAGCGCAGGACGGGGTGACAGTGGCGTCAGTCCTGGCCTTGGAGGGGTGAAAGATGGTGAAAGGGTTTAGTTTAAGTTTAGATAAGGAGTGGTAGGAGACGGGGGGGAGTCGGCGCAAGGCGTAAGTGCACAGCTGGAACGAAGGAGAGGAGTCTCTCTGAGGTGGATGAGGGTGGTTTGGCTGACCAATGGAATGCCTTGCATTCCAGCAAAATTGCTCCTGGAGTGGAAGTCCGGGCCATCAATGGCAGCTGGAACCCGATACGTATGCTGGAGGAGCAAACAAGCTTCCCGCGAATGATGCAAATTGAGTTGATTGGCTGAAGGATGGTGTAGCTCAGATTGAAAGTCTTACTGTACTTGGAATCACGATTGGTGCAGGAGCTACAAGAAGCAAAGACTTTGAAACTGGATCTTTGGAAGCCGAGAATGAGAAAGGAAGTACCTGGACCATCCTGGACATTCTTTTTTTGCATTTCAGGGAAGGGACAGGTCGGAGAAACATTCTCAAGACTCATTGTCTATGAGTCAGTGTAATCTATTGACCCACATTGCCATTGACAAGCCAAGGTCAAAGTGCTTCCTCGGAATGTTCTTGGTGCAGAGCCAGTTCTGTTGCTCAACTGCACCAGTCAAAAGCAGTTGCAGAGAAGCTACAGCTACACTCTAGACAGTCACGTTGAGTTCTTTTTGAGCAAATGGCTTCCAGTAGGTTGCTACAACAGCGCATTGATGTGGAAGAGAAAAGACGAGAGGAGGCCATCGAGCAATTGACCTCCTTCATGACAGAAGCCATCACCACAGTTTCCAACCGCATGGAAGTGCCTCGACATGCATCATGAGAATCAAGAATCAAGAATCAAGAAGACACAAGAGGCTCCCAACAAGATTGACACGTGCTGCTTTTGCCCGTGAATGTAAGGAATTGGCGCTGACCCATTTGAAGAGCCAGCAGCAGCAAGACTCAGCTATGCAGGGTTTGACCCAAAGACTGATTGAGGTGCAAGAGTCTGACAATGCGCAGATCCACCAGTTAAAGCAGCTGGACGAGATCCAAAGCGGCGCTACACAGCAGATCTCTCGCATTGAAGCCAAACATCAAGAACTCTTTCATGGACTCAATGAATTGTCTTCTGAAACAAAAACCTGTATTGGCCAGCTGAATGAGGCTGTCCGCGGCATTCTTGAAGATGCTGGTGCTCTCGAGCGCTTGCGCAAGAGAGCCTCCCAAAGTCTTCAACGGGAGGATGACCAAGACACATTGGCTGACACAATTAAGACAGATTCGGACAGAACAGTGTTGCCTGCTGGCAGTCTGGAGAGGCAGGATAGCCAAAAAACACAAAGTTTAGCTGGCTTAGCTTCCTTCGAGCCCCCCCATCATCAGTGCTGGTGGAGCATCGGGGCAGTGGCAGACTCGGACAGGCACTTCCCCTGCTCTTCCCGTGAGACCTGTGCAGCCAGTCTCCCCTGTCATGGTGGAAAGACCACAGGTGACTGGATCCATCATCACACCCAGAAAACCTGAGGTATATGCAAGAGCCACTAGATGTGCAAATTTGGAGAGAGCCACTGGTGCTGCAGAAGCGGGGTGCCAGATGTTCTCTCCCCGAAAGATGCCTCAAGTACCTCCACTCAACTGGCCCAGCCAACCGTTGATGCATTCACCTATGCCTTCTCCACGGTTCACCTCACCAGTGAGGTCTCCCCGTATCGCTGCCATTAGGACCTTAAGTCCGCAGCCAATGCAAACATGGCAGATGCGAGCTTCAGTGCCAGCCAAGCCTGGCAAGACGGCAAACTCAAAGCAGGAAGCGTTGCAAGCGTTGCAAACTGCAGACTCCCAGTCTCGAGTTGACAACTCGAGGATTCTCACGCCACGAGTTGACAACTCCCTTCCTGCCACTGAGCGGGCTCGCCGAGTGACTTCACCAACTCGGAACGAGGCGAAGTGATGTGAGGTGATGAAGCCTTTCAAATCCTTTCAACGTTTTATGTGCACAAAGCCTCTCCCGGCACGCCTGAATTCAAGAATGCTCAGTAGATCAATGAGCTCAATGTAGACTAATGATTTAATGTACAAAGTGAGCTAAAGCAGCTCGGCCTCAGCAAAAAGTCTGGGAGTGTTGTCTCTTTGTAGGAAGGCTGAGTGATTCTCCACTTTGCAGTCCAGCATTGGCTTGATCATGCAGGTTGTAAGCATGTGTAGTCTGAGTGATTGACTTCAAGATTTCCAGCAACATAATTGCATATGTTGAAGCATATGTAACTATCCAATTGAACCATGCGTTGCAATTGCAAACAATGTCCAAAAGGCTGCTTCGCAAACTCGACATATTTTGTACACCTTTGCACAATCTCACGGGCTGTTTTGCGACTTTCAAGAACAACACAAGACCCATTCTCATATTCACGGAGTTGGACTATGTTGAAGATCTCTTGACGCATGCAAAGCTGATGTGCAAGCAAGGCTCTCAGCTGAAGAAGCAATAAGAGACCGAATATCGCTGAATCTATCTTAATCCGGCAGAATGCCCCGTGTGCCTTTTGGCCAGTCGAAGTTGCCAGGACTGTGCCGGGCAAATGAGCTGCTCAGCCCAAAGAGCTTGGGATGATGCACAATGCCGAATTCCATGACCCATGATCACACAGCAAGTAAGCGAACAAAACAGGTGGGTCACACAACAGCTGGGTGGCTAGTGTCTTTCCTTTGAATAATTCTGAGAAAAGTGAAGGGGCCTCTTTGAAGGGAATCTTGCTTGGTCTGTGAAATCTTGGCTATCAGTTGAGACTGGTGCATGTTTGATGATTCATGTTGGTGCGCACATGCTTTTCATGCGAGGTGGCGGTGGTCGAGAAGATCTGACATTGCATGCCAGCAAGTACAAACCTAAAGTGTTGCAGGCCATTGCAGCCTCTCCAATTCACTCCAACTTGCCTAGGAGGCAATTGAGTCTAACCAAGGTATGGAGTGGCAGTGTGCTTGCCACAGACTCTCTCATTCAGTTCGTTCTGATTCAGTCCAATAGCTTCCAGTAGATACATTGTGCAAGAAGGTCCTGGGACCTTGGAAGAACGGCTGTCGACCTTGACCTCCAGGCCACCACACTGTTGAATCACAACAACACCTCTGGTCCTTACCATCGGTCCAATCCAGCTGAGCCATGTTGGCACATGTTGGCACACTTTAGAGGAATAGCTGACAGGCTGTTGTGGTTGATGAGAAGGGGTCCATCATTGATGCGGTCTACTACAACAACATGAAGGCCGAACTGAGGGAACATGCGGGGCCCAATGGTGGGCCCATCCAACAAAATTCGAAGCAAAGCGATGCAACGCGTACGAATTCGAGGCTCTCCGGGGGGAGCATCACACACTCGGGAGATGAACAAACTGGAAAAAAGGCACTGGGATGCACAGCGTGTTGGTGATGGTGGGATACATCATGCTGCAAAGTTTGTGTCAGGCTGGCCTGGATGAATTTATTTGGGTGAATTTGTCGAGGCTTCCGGAGAGCATAAGGCATCGCCCCTAGTCAGCCGGGAATGATTGTTTTCAATTGTTTTCATGCGTTTTCTCCCCGTCGCACATAGGCTGGTCATTTTTGTTGTGGCTGCCTTCAGTGGAGGGAGCTTGCGTGATGTCACAAACTTAACCGGAAATTTAACCGGAGGATTGTTTTGTACCTCATCAATGTTGCACGTTTGCATTGGTCGCTACGAGGAGTAAATGTTTAAGAGAAGCCCAGACTTACTTCCCATCACGCAAGTTGCTTTGTGCCTTCATATTTCTGAGGGCACAGAGTGGAGAGGCACGATGTGGATATCTCTTGAAACCGCTTGAGGCACAGAATGGGATGCTACATATTCTTGAAGAAGATATGAAGCACGAGGTGCGACTGTGAGATGTCAAGCAATGCTAGGCCTGATGAGCTCACCGTTTGCGTTGAGCAATGGAACTGGGTAAGATGTCCCCTTCAAGAAGGTAAAACAAAAACAACATTTGCTTCCCGCCGGTCCCAGCGTTTCCCTGCGTTTTATTGCCTGTTTGTGTAATCAAGGCGACACACAGACTGACCACATTGTATAAGAGTGGGACAAAAGAGCCAGAGCACCTTGAATACTTCACAAGAGCACCTTGATCCTCCGCCCATGTGTTTCAATCGCAGAAAGTGTATCGTGATACATTGCGTATGTGTCCAGGTGGGCAGATACCAACTCGAACAAAGTCTTCATCAAGTTGATGCTGTCGCCGTGATGCAGCGTTTCGCCACTCAACGACATATGAAGATTTCATGCTTTTATAAAAGCACATGGTTAGGTAAGTCCGAGTTCACACCAGGAGTCTGATTGGCGCTTGCGAGTCATCGAAGAGCCAGCACGAGAAGGACAGCAACTCAAAGGGCCGAAACGTATTCAGTACCTGCTGAAACACGGGATGCCAATCAAAAAGAACATTGATTCCTATCAATAAAACATTGATTCCTATCAAACAACAATTAATTCGTTTCAAAAAGAAAATTCCCCCTACTCCTTTGGTCCTGGTCCACTGATTAGTGCCACGAATATCGATCCTGTGAAGAAGAAGACGAGAGAAGAAGAAAAGAAGAAAGATGCGACGAGAGAAGAAAATACAAGCAAGAGCCCACCCATAGTCATGTCAGGCAGTAGGAAAGTTCCCTTGGTCCTCTGGTCCCTTGGTCCTCTGGTCCTTCGTCCTGGTCTTCGGGTCCTTGGTCTGTACTTTCGAGGCAAGACGAGTTCGGGGTGATTCGGAAATCTGGTCATAAGACCTTTTATCACCAGACGTAGCAGACCTTTTTTGTGAGCCACCCTGACGGTAAAATTTAGACGAAGAAGGTGCCCTTCCAAGGTAGCAAACCTTTTGTGAGCCACCTGAGGCCAACATTTAGAAGAGGAAGGAGCCACTCCAACGTTGCAGACATTTTGTCAGCCTTGCGAGGCTAAAATTTAGCGGAATAAGTTGCCATTCCAACATAGCAGGCCTTTGTTTCGTGAGTAGAATCTGCTACTCGAACATAGCAGACACTTTAGGTGCCACGCCAAGGTAGCAGACCTTTTGTGAGCAAAATTTAGAGGAGCAGTAGACCTTTTGTGAGCCATGCGAGGGCACAATTGACAGGAGCAGACCTGTTGGCAGAATAAACTTTAAAGGAGGAAGGTGCCATTCCAACATAGCAGACCTTTTGTGAGCCATCCACAGGTCTCGTGGCTTCGAGATTCAGAGATGTTTTGAGATCCATCCTAGAGGTTTGAAATTCAGACAGATCACGGTTGAGATGCAGCGAGGTCTACATCTACAAAGTGTCCAGACGGATCTGCAGGTGTAGAGGTCTAGAAACCCACAGATCTAAAGATGGAGGTCTAGAGGTCTTGAGTCTTGAGATCCAGGCAGGTCTTGGAATCTTAAGTTCTAGGGTCTAGACTTGCAGAGGGTGTAGAAAGATGCTCAGATCCAGATATATCAAAAGCTCTTTTCAGAGGTCTTGAGATCCACAAAAATTTTGCGCACGCCACGCAATCTGCACTTCGAGGTTCGGAATCGCTGCGCCTGCCACGGAGTCTGCGCTTATAGACAGAGGTTCACCCAGCCATCTGCACTTCGAGGTTCACCCAGCGCCGCGCCTGCCACGCAATCTGCACTTTGAGGTTCACGAAGTGCTGCGCCTGCCATGAAACCTGCAGTTCCAGTGCGCAAAGTGCTGCGCTTGCCACGAGCCCGGCAACTGAAGGTGCTCAAAGTGCCACGCGTGCCACGAAATCTGCAGTTCCAATGCGCAAAATGCCGCTCGTGCCACGAAACCTGGTACTGGAGATGCTGAAAGTGCTGCGCCTGCCACGAAATCTGCAATTCCAGTGCACAAAGTGCTGCTCCTTGCACAAAATCTGCTAGTGGAGGCTCAAAGTGCTGCGCCCGCCACGCAATCTGCGCATCCGGATTAGCGCTGCCAAGGCGGTTCGCAGTGGCAGGCGCAGCTCTTTGTGAAAGGATATTTTCTTTTTGACACCAATTAACTTTCTGTTTGGTAAGATATATAAAATATTTTTCTTGATATATATATATATATTTATATTCTTTTTGATAGCCCGGCCCTGAAACACCTCATATTTACCAACTTGCTTGGAAGTCGAGACTATATTTTGGGCTCTTATAACCATTTTGCAACATTTGCAGGTACTGTATTTGTTACGAAATGTTACAAAAATATGGACCCTTTACAGTACTAATCGATGATAAATTGAGTATGTGTTTGTTTCTTGAATGCTTTTGCTTTTGTGCTTTTGTAGAAGAGGCTGAAGTATTCCCTGACCAAAGATCACTGAAGTCTGGAGATCCTGCACACTGCACTCTGCAGCAAGGGAGATGTCTTCCCAAGGTCGACACTTCATAGACATCCTCGAGCCAGTTCTTGGGAACCTTGGATTGAAGAAGGTCAAATAGGAGCAAACAAACTGTATAATTGTGTGTATATATATACATACACATGTCACATCATATAATTACTTTAACTACTGTACATACATATATATATATATAACTACTGTACATATATATATACTTTAAACATCAACCATGTAGGTGGGTGATTGGGTTCCTTACAGAAACAAACCTTTAGAATGCACGATCCGCCGATCCAATTCAGCTGCTGGTCACTGATCTTAGGAACATCATACGCGCAGCGATTCCAGGAGCTCCAAAGCGCCAGAAGGCTGTGGGTGTTTGGATGTCGCGCGGTACACTGGGTGTATTTTCTGTATTCGGGATATGAACCCTACACTTTCATTTCTAGCACGGATGACAAGGTCAGTCATGAAGGATCCAGCCCAAGAAGCACCGAAGATTTGGGTATTTTTTGTTGTGAAGGTGGCCTTCGCGATGGAAAAGGCGGCTGTGGTGGATTTGTTTGGCACCCTGATCGCTGCAATCGGTTCAA